TGACTCGACTTTAAACCGCTGAAAACAACTCATATGCTGAGTCAGTTCATGTTCGTGTTCAAAAGAACCTTAACCTTTATTGAAGGGAAGTAACTCGTACATACTTTGAACTCACTTTACTGTGCTTGTTAACGGACATAATCGATATAAAGTTCTTTCGATGTAGAATGGGTACTTAATAGCAATACTCATGTATGTGTGGTATACAAAATGTGAAATAATTATCAAATTTCAGATGCGACAACAGAATGAGCATGAGCTAGCAATAAACACTATCATACAGCCATTCCTGAAGAGATACATCCTCGATACTTTAGGGGTTGCGCTCATTTTCGATCTGTGCATCCCTGGAATATGTCATAGCTAAATTAAAGGCACGCGACTAGCTTTTTGATTGGTCTCAGGTAAAAAAACCTGACCAATTTCTTAGGCTGACACATGTCCTTTGAAGATTACAGAAAAGCGACTTCCGACTTCAGAGTCGGTCAATTTTACCGTTACGCAACTGAGAGATTATTTTGATGTTCATCAAAGGATCAAACTATTCTCCTCGTCTCATCCGCAAGGTGGTGCACTTTGAACATTCGAGTTTGCTATGACATATTCCAGGGGTGTAGAGAGCGAAAGTGAGCGTTATCCCTTGAGTATCGAGGATTGGAGAGATACCACGTGCTCATAAGGATCAGTGTCCCATTTCAGGCAGAAACAGTAGATAGCAAATATATTGATGATGAAATCCCGCTATGAATAAAAAAGATAAACAGCAGATGAGTTCCTGAAAATTATACATCCCAGAAAAAGTCATGTATATTCATTCTGAATGCCTCCTACGTTGAATGAAACATAAGTAAATAAAAAATAAATAAAAAACAGGATGATAATTATCTTACATTTTATTAAGATATTATAAATTGTTTATTTTGCATAGCACGTATATTGTACAATTACAATACGCTATCAATAGATTATCAATCAGTAATTATGCATGTATTATGGATTCCGTTATCATAATACCTCAAAATAATACATATTTTTAATAAACTACTAAACTAGTAGTAGATAGTCAGGTCAGATCAATATTGTTTATTCGAGTCTAGAGAGCAAGTGATCGGGACAGCCCCTGGCTAACAAGCTCTCTGAAAATAATACAATATGACAAATACAATGTTTTATTATACATGTAATACAATAAAACGATTTGAAAACTAATAGTACTAATAACAAGTAAGGGGGGACCATTACAGAAGTTCCCCAAAAATCCATAATTTACTTACATACCAAGTTAAAGCAATATTGGACATGTAGAGGTACCCATGACATCACCCTGGTGTACACTTATACATGTGTTAATAGATCAGAGGCCGTGGCAGCCATCTTGGATGCGCAGCTGTTACAAAAATTGTGTCTTGCGCATCTCGGCACACGCCCCGATACTCATTGGTAGTTTCATTGGATTCCAACTTATAGAGTCTAACAACATTTTACGGCAGAACAAGAATATTAATAATAATAATACAGTTATAAGAAACGGAGTAAAAACAGTAAGACTTAATACAAAATATTCAAGTTCTACTTCGTAGTACGATTTAGGTTTCGAGTGGTTTGTGAGAGCCCTACCAGCGAGATATACCAAAATTCACACTACTTAGAAGCTTCTTATATGTATAGCCTTTGTCATGCACTTAAACTTAATTATATTAATGTTTTTTTTCCAAATCACACCCCGAATTAATCTGCTTATATCAGGCACAAGGTGACGTACGAAGGCCCGCGGAACTGATATTTGCAGCAGTGCCAATCTGCAGTTTGATATGAAAAGTAATGTTATCATATATAATTTATTACTTAAAAACCATAATGTCGATGTCTTTCCTTTTAGTTCCCATGGCTGATAACATAATGTAAAGCCATAGTTCTGTTCGATAGTAATTGTCATTTTTTGTCCATGTTTTTTTCTCCGCTGACAATCAAAACAAATTCTGTGAGATTCCAAACCCCAGTAGGGTCCGGAACATTTGGTAACACAACTATTACATTGTAGGCTCGAATATGGACTAATACATACGGAAGCTGACTTTATCACCGGATGTGGGCTGATATCGAAACAATCAAAAAGGGACGGGAAATATTGATACTTTAAATATAGTTCATTACAGATGCAGTTTCATCCTCGAAATCCAAAAATGTATCTCTCTTATGTGCTTTGCGCCCCCTGACTCATCCTCGATACTCCAGGGGTTACGCTAGCTTTCGCTCTCTACACCCCTTGGATATGTCATAGCAAAATCGAAGGCTCAATGTTTGCCACCTTGTGGATGAGACAAGGGTAGTTTGACCCTTAAATGTACATCAACATAATCTCGCAGCCGCGTAACGGTAAACATGACTGACTTCGAAGTTGTGTGACCCTCCTTTGTAATCTTCAAAAGACAGGTATCAGCCTAGCGATTGGTAAGGATATTTTTTTTTTACCTGAGACCAATCAAACAGCTTTCGTCGTGCTTTCGATTTTGCTATGACATATCCCAGCGATGCACAGAGCGAAAGTGAGCGTAACCCCTGGAGTGTCGAGGATTCCCTTGAATTTGTCATAACGAATTGGAAGGTTCTGCACGCGCCACCTTGTGGATAATACAGGGCAGCCTAACGGTATAATTGACCAGCTTTGAAATTGGGAGTTGCTCCTCTGTAATCTTCAGACGACAAATATCAGCCGAACAATAGTTTATTTATTTTGACCTGAAACCAGTCAAATAGCTAACTTGTACTGCATGCCTTCCATTTTGGCAGGGAAATGAGCGTGCCACCTGGAATTCGAGGAGGATGCAATTTGAGCGATATTGTAATAAAATATATGATCTATATTTATATATTTACGTTTGATCTGCATTGCCACAATATAACACTACTAATACCAGTTCCGTGTTGTGATACCATCACGCATGCGTAGTGATATATCCACGCTAACGCGCGTTATTCGTTTTGTCTGCAATCCTGTTCCGTGTTGTAGTACCATAACACGGAACAAAATGCTGTTTAATGCTTAAGTGTATCATACAAATTCTAAGTAACGTACAAAACACATAACGAAAATTAAAGGCACACATCATGAAACCTTACTTCCCTTATCCTCCAAGTTAACTACTATCATAAAGATATTTTGCCCATATTAAGAAGATATGCATCCCTGGACCTGTAAATGTGATCTAAGGTTAACTGTTTTAATTGTGCATTGGCTATATATGTGGGTGTAAGATTTATTTTATGATTTATTTCCCGATTATCAACTATGACAGAGCTGAGACTGACTGATATTATCAATAAAAAGGCCAATGCCAATACACATTTTATAATTGAAGTCTACGCTTTGTTCGATAGCCTGAAAAATACATATTCGATAGAGGACAAATTTGAAGCAGACGTTGATAAATTCATCACAGGCATATACGTGTGATTTAATAAGAAATATTTTGAGATTGTATATGAAAAAAATATGTTATTTTTTACATTTAAGCTATTGAGCAATCCGCTTTTCATTATAGTTTTAGTATACCAACACAAGATTAATGATTTATGTTGGGTGATGGAACATATTAAATGTAAAAAAGTTAAGCAGTAATTATACTATTACACGTATAATCAATCATATAGTGAAATCACTAGTAACACTGAAATGACGTCACTAGTAAACCGGAAATGACGTCATGATTTCAAAGTGAAAGACACTTGCGATTAAACATGATCTGTATTTCATGTGGTTAGACGATTTAAACATCGATCACATTTAAACTCGTTTTTTAATAAAAAAAAATACACAGAAAACATTTAAGAAACGCAATGGTTACACACATAAAAAACATTATCACATCATATATTGACTGAATGCCATGTTCCACTTCAATGTCATTAAAACATTTAAACTACCACAATAAAAAACAAATCAATATGCCGTAATGATTCGAATTGTATATATGAAGGTTTCGAATGGAGCATCGTAGGATACATGCTTACATACCCCCTCATTCAAAATCGTTGCGCATACTAGCTATTTCAGGCATAAGCTATCATTTCCTGCATTAAGGATACACCTACCACTGCCAGAAACTGTTGTCGGCATGATTAAAGCCATGATGAACAAAACTGCAAAGTAAAACTTCCATGACTGTCATGAAAAAAAGATGAAATAAACAAAATATAATCATTTAAAGTGCTTTTGAGTGTATATTGCAAACAATTACAGTGTAACTCTGAATTGCTTTGTCAGCAGTGGGACATGCATCCTTAATGTATTATTATCCTTGATTTATGCTCTATATCTTTACACACCTGGTACAGTTGTAACTGATAATTTCAAATATTAATCACCACTCTTTAGACATTTCTATGTCAATGTCTTTTCATGCATTTTATCATGAGTACGATTTTCCTGTAATGTTATGCTCTATATCTCATAAAATTAATAAAAAATCATTTTACTATACACATTTAAAGATATGAAAGAAAAAAAATCATTTTTAAATCAAGAGGATTTTTTAAAATTTTTTTTTATTCTATTTTTTTAATTATTGTTTTTAGAAAAATCTTATTTCGATATAGTTTTTTTTCTCATCGATTTGCCATTTTTTGTTGGAATGGACGTACAGAAACAATATTGAAAAATATGTGAATCATACAACAGGCCTGATATAACAAGTCATAAATGCATCAAAATCAAATGTAGTTATTAAGTCATTGTCCTGAAACTACAGACGGCGGTGATTTCACAAATTTAGCTTCATCATATAATGATGTAAAAGTTACAATGATGTTGACAATATTAAATACATAGTATATAAATCAAATCTACACAGCAAAAGATAAACCTGTTTAACACATGATACTATATGTAACAACACTAATAATGATACAATGTTTTTAGCTACTGAAGTGTTTTATCATATAAACGCATATATATTAACAAGTTATTGTAAATGTTTAAATAATAAAATAACATACTTAATAATATTTCTTATATAAAAATATTTCAAATGGTTTACAAACAAACAAAAAATCTAAATACACACATGCATAACATTAATGAAAAGAGTGACTTACAAGTTCACTAATATTATTGCGTTCCCTATAGGAACATATGTTTATAGACAACATGTATAACAGTTATATGAAAATATAAAAATCATATTCATATATTAATTTCTACTCTGTGAATGAATATAAAAATTACAAATTATAATTTGTACGTCAAGAAAAAAGCATCCACGTTAAATGTCACTTTCATATTTGGATAAAGCTTCGATTCAATCTCTGAATTTACCAAATAGATAGTTTAAGTGTTTCTCCATTATAACGTTAAACACGCAGAACACAACATCTTTGTATGCAATTGCTGATAGTTAATTCTTAGGATATAGACAAATAAAGGGAACGGTAATTTTTGATTTTTTCATTTTCATATGAACATCCTGATTTTTAATTTCCAGCAAGTTAAATGGTTGTTTACTTTTATACCGATATAACAATGTCGACAATACCGTTCAATTTATGTTGGAATCAATAACAATGTATTGTTGGTAAATTTTGTTGAGGATTTATTTTCACTATATTCGCTGTCACCAACGACTACACGAAATTAGAAATCCAGTACGGATAATGTAATAACAACCATATTTGGATATCCGTAGTTAACATAAATTTCGACTCGTTGACTGGTGGTATTATATTTGGATAACACAAAACATTCTACATTTTGAAAGGGTTCATCCCAATTGTATCTACATAATTCATTACGATACTTATCAATATGTACACCACTTCCGACCAAAATGAACAAGCATGTTTTCCGTTTGGTTATGTAAAGTATTTGGTCCACTAAAAATCTCATGCACATTGACCAATACCTCAGCATCCAGTCAATTTGTATTCAGATATGATAGTTTTATAATGGAAGGATAAGGAATATATTTACAGTTTACACTGACATTCATTCAATAGACATTAATCCAGCAAACTGGAGTTATCATCTTATTATATGACCATATACAGTTTCCATGACGTTGACACCAATTGAAGTGGGCGGAGCTATGCAAACTTTCCGCGAACGAGACACAATTATTTGAATTCATCAACAATAAATTTTGGCAGAAGTAACCAAAGCTTTTGCAAATTTAAGACTTTTACTTATATCAAACCGATCAATCAATAATAAATTATCTAAAGAATGATTACTAAATAGTTAGAAATCATTCACAGAAAAATAGGATTGTCTGGTTATGAGGTGAGAATTCCAGTTGAGCACAGATAAATCTATCATAGATAGCTTTGCCAAACGTGCCCTACTGTAGCTATCAGCTCATAACATGACCGTGTAATTGCATTCTAAAAGGCAAACAATGGTATAGAAACCATCAAGAAAGGTACAATTTAAGTAAAAGATAAAGGAACATTTAAACGATATATATATCGATTTGAAAATAAATTGTTGGTGCAAATAAGTCAGATAACATGTTAAAAGATGTTACAATCGCATATGCTATGTTGTCATACATGAATTAATAAACAAAACACATATTTACATGTTTTAGGTAGACACATTGGGGCGTGCACATGCTTAGATTTATATCAGTAAGACACCAATTACATATTGTTCAATACTATAAACTGGATTTTTTTTTGCTGCAGTTTAATTTTCGCCCCTTTTCGCCTTCCATAGTTAAGGCAAATTGATCATTACAGCGAATATAAGTAAACACAACAATAAACAGAGTAATAAGATGTGAAGGATGAAATAGACACTGGGGCGAAAATTGATTTCAAGGGAAAAGGGCGAAAATATTCCGGTATACAGTATTTAAATACACAATTCATACAATTCATACAAAATGCATGAAGTTTTAACATAGATGCTTTATCAAAATATAAAACAATTAATAGTTAACAATAAACTATGTACATCATTAATTGATAGCGTGCGAACTAAATAAAATAAAATAAAAGCTGTGCTTACAAAATATCCTTAAACAGCATAAAATAAATTCCCTTACTTACATCAATACTAGTATATGTCGTAAACTACCACTCACAATAATACAACAGGACACCCTGAACGTGTTTCCAAACTCATGTAATATATGAATAATTTGTCATGGGATATTGCTTAGTTTATGAAAATCTTTCATGAGTTATGATGTAAAAAATACAAGTGATACATAGTTAACGTTTTGAAATTAATCGCCACGACGACCAGGTTAGGTCTGGATCGAAAACTTCGCATGATGTCCTTCATATTTCATATCTATCTCAGATCCATGAACAGTACGACGTTAACATATTAAGCGAAAAGTCATGACGTAGTATGATCATATGGTGAAGGATTTTATGATGACTGTATTTTCAGTTGATATTATGACCATGTGACGGTTGTATGAATGTTTTATGAATAATATACAGTAAATTATTTGATATATTTAAATTTTCCATTGTAATACAAAATGGAAATTTCTGCTCAGGATTAGTTTCATTTTCAACAAAACTTGCAATGTACACATTAGGCCAAATAATTGCATGATGTACTATAATTCCCAGGCAATACATATTGATAATGAGTGGGGAATAATTCAGCGAAATGAAACGAACTAACACTATACATCTCTATTTACATAAGAAAACACTAATTACATCAGTGTACGGTTGATGCTCATTCTTGCATGTAAAACCGTTAGACAAAGTTATCTACGAAGGGGATATTCCAATAATTCCAATACCAAATACATACACAGTATCACTATACTTATTTTACTGGTGACATGAACGTTAAGTCAGCTGAATAGACATCTATTGGTTTGATAATAGTGATGTTTCTTTGGGTGGGACTATACAAATTAAAAATGGAGCGCTCCACCAGGACAGCACGCTATCGTTTTATGCAAGTTGTAATGGACGGCGCAGCAGACGATCGTCTGCGATCCCTAGCTCTCTACTACTGGATCGCAGGTTTCAGGCCTAAGTAGGGTATTCGCCAGGTACTGGGCGCAGGTCTCTATTTTTTCTCCGGGTTCCTAATTTTGTCAACCACCAAGACCTTATAGGACGTAAAGTTTAAACCAAAGTATTACTGTACAAATTCCAGTATTTTAATACTATCACAACCCTAACTTTGCCAAACCAGCATTGGATAAAAGATGTCATCCCTTATGACACGTGCATTATTTCTGCTACTCTACTCTACTTATTTTGGTGTTCTTCCGCTTTTGGTTTATTTGCTGTGTTATATGGAAATTCGTTTTCAACCATTTCTTTGCACCTGCACACCTTGTGACGTTCTACACTAACTATTTCTACTTGTGCTCCACAACTTTTGCACGTAGATTTCTTCAATAGCTTCACGTTGTATGCCTCAAACCCTAATTGGGCAGTGAATGCGAGAACAAACTCGACACGAAAGCCTGCATATTTGCTTCCCACGAGGTTTTCTCCTGTTTTGAATGGACAGAATGGGACTTTAACTTGAACATCGGTATTTCCTTCGACATACAATTTGAGCGAGCCATGTTGTCTATATGTATTTGGAGGCTGGATTGTTCCTGTCAACACTACAAGAGTATAGCTTGCTGCCTCATCGTTGATGACCTTACCCTTGATATAGTTTTGGTAAGTGCTTCCTCGTTCGATACATCGGATACCACTCTCCTTCCCTAGCCACTCTCTTGGTTTCCCTTGGTTGGAGAACTGTTTACCTATTTGTTTCATTTCCATTTCTGCCCTTTTTATGGCCATTGCTTCTTTTAAAATGTTAACATCACAAGACCTCCGAGAGTGGATCGATAGGGTACACAGGAGGACAAATAGGTAGAAAATAGAGTAGGGACTGCATATGTTTTTGTGCCAAAAACGTACGTTTGTTAAAACGTCTTCCAAGGAATAGGACGTTTTCTGTTGGGGATGTCGAATTGCCTGGATCCAATCTATGAAAACAAAGTCTACATCCATATTGGAGTATTGTTCTCCTGGTTGCCTGATATCATCAATGTTTTTTTCTAGCATTGTAATTATAAACTTGATGTCTCTTTCATCTTTGATGTCATTGATTGTTCCAAGCCGATTTACCTCCCCGTATTTCAGCTTCATTCCTACAATCGTTGCACATCGGGTATGGAATGTATCAGGAACACTTAAAGTAGCTAAGTAGTTCGTTTGGATCATCCCTTTGAAAAGCATGTTGTAGTTTGTGACTTTCCTGTAAAACTGTTTATCAATATGTGACTGATCAACAGTGTTAAAGCACTTCATGAACAGATGTTGAATGTTTGATAAGCTTTCTTCAACAAACAAAATTATATTGGCATTTCTCGACTTTTCGCGAAGAGCTTGGATCGTGTCAAAATGATAGTGGCTTTTCAGGAGATCACATATGCATAGCCGTACGTTTATTTCTCCAATACAGCCAAAAGACTCCTGACAACCTGCATATCCAAATTTTCTGCAATCTGAAAATGCTTTGCATGCAGTATTTGCTAAAATAAACATATTCCTGACTGCATCCTGAAATTGCATCTCTGAATTATCTTGTTTCCTGCACTTTGCTATTTCAGCTTTAATCCGCTGAAGGTAAAACATTCCGTACATATGATATACAAAGCTCGGAACGAAATCGTCATTTTCAGAATCAGTGTGACTTTCCTTTGCTTGACAACCTTTTATCGCTTCCTGGAAAAATGTTTCAGTTTTCTCATGTTGTGTAGGACAAAGCAAGGAATATGCTCTCCCTAGGTGCGCCCACAAACTTGAGATGAAAGGAAAAGACTCCGCAAGTGTTTCCATCACACGAAGGCGTTCAGTAAAGGGTTGCTCCGATGGTATGCTTTCTATCAGTCGTGAGAACTGACGTTTTTTCAGTTGAGTGTCATCTGCTCCACCTTCACGATAAATGAACGTTTGTATTATTATATCAAGCATTGTTTTTGATTTTTGACCTGTTTGGTCTTGTCGGGTTTTCAGATCTTTTATAAACTCCAAAACAAAGGGTTGGAGATGGTTCTTTGCTAACGGACTCAAGTTCAAGCCCTGATTGCAAGTTAACACTCTCGATAAAATCTGATCTAGGATTTCTCTTGCTATCAGAAAATGACATATCCTAACGCTATTCTGAACGAATCCTGACTCAACTGGAACTGTGAATTCTTTGATGCTAGCCGGAAATTTGTCATACGTGAACTTATAATCTGCAGACCTTCCCAACAAAGTTCCAAACATTTGACACGGCATGGTTCCTTGGCCGTAAAATTTGACTAGTGACAGATAACCAAGAACTCGCTGATTCTTATTCAACTCTTTACTCTTTATGTCCACCTTTAAGTACTCAGCCACATACTTCGCCACTCCTTTGAACTCTTGTAGATGAATGACTAACCCAAACTCGACGAGATGATGATTTACACCTTTCTCGACCCCATCAACAAGCTTTTGGATCTGGTCCTTCTTTTTGACATTATCATGACAACACCGAATAAATTTCGGTCCCATACGCCTAGCTTCTCCTTTAGACAAGGTTCCTTTGAGAAAATACTCATGTTTATCAAGATTGATCTTTGTTTCAGACACACGTTCTAAATATATAAAAACCACAATCACGTGATGCAGTTGTTGTTGTATTTGTTCAAACTTGTTTTTGTCTGATCCATCAAATAGGACGACAATGGGACTATGAGTCTCCTTGTAAAGAACAGATATATTTTCTGCAATTTGTTGTGGCTTTGCCAATGAGTCTGTTCTAATCTGAACGCATGGTGTGATTTCATGCAAGTTCCAAAGTATATTTTGACCAATGGTAGTTCCCCCAGCTCCAGGAGCATGGAATATTTTGACAAACCCTTGATTCAACGTGTCGATAAAATTGCATTTAATATCATTCACAATGGTTGGAAGTAGATCCCTCGCAACATAAAAATGTTCCGGGCCATCGGTGTAGTAGGATTGCCAACTTAAAGTGCCACCTTTGAAGAATAATCGTTCTTCTTCTTCAGAAGCAGACATATCAGAGGAACTACTTTGAGATGGGTTGTCAAGATAAAGTATTTGCATACTTTCTCTGAAAGAGGCTGCTGATGTATCGTTGATACGAGTTACAGTGGTGCCATCATCTGTTGGTAATCTGTATGTTAATGAATTATCTTGTTGCGGCCCTAGATTTGTCGACAGATCATGGAAAACATGGTCAAGTTTTTCTTTAAGGTGATAGTTTGGAGAAATCATTTCGTCTATTAGAGATTGGTGTTCTGCTGGCGGAATACCAATAACAACAACCTTTGGGGCAGGCGCAATGGATTCATTTAATGCAGAAATTATTTTTTGGAACTTCAAACCTGTGGCTCTATCCTCTGGCCAGCACGCAACCACTGTCAAAACGCTAACTGTATCTAGCATTTCGTTAATCTTGTCGACATGTTGCTCAATTCTTTTTTTGATATGTGGATACCACAATTTGAAACTGTCTGGCGTTTTGCTTTCCGGTTCTTTTGTTACCCCTGAAATGAAACACCATTCCGTCCCGAATGTTTGTATATTCGGAGGATCGAACCAAGTGCAAGGGTACAGTCCTTTCCCCTGTTTTCTGAAAACATCTTCAACCCTATAGAACAAACCATCTGTGCGACTATCAACATCAAAATCAAATACGCAAAGCCATGGAATATTTGCGAGAGCATCCACGTTTCTGCTAAAATCTGTTTTGGAAATCAAAAGCAAATACCTTCCTCCACGAAAATTATCTACAAATTTCAAGAAGTCATTAAATGCAGTACATTTATTCGGAATGTGTTCCCTTTTCTGACTGTGATCAAGCGTAGGGCGAATTAACGCAGATGGGTTATTTTTAGGTGAATCTTTTGTTTTGTTAGTTTTCAATGAATCTTCATTACTTACATGAGTGTTGGAACCCGAATTTGGTGTATTGGAAATATCACGCATGTGGACAAACCATTGATCACCTAACATTCTTAGAACAAAAACCTCCTTTGACTGTTCTAAGTACGTTAACAGTGAGTTGTCATATACACTTTTAAAACTCTTACCATGCCGTTGATTAAAGCATGATTCTAGCTTCTGTAGTTGCATTGTGTTCACCTTCGGGTTTCCTCCAACTGATCCGTTTGCTTTCAAAATATCGTGAAGCTGCTGTCTAATTTTCTTGTGAGGCACATCTATAACAAAACATAATATGATAATTGTCCCATTCATAATATTTTCAAGCAACGCAAAATAAATAATATGCATGTACATCTAAACTATACCGTTTCTAAGACATCTAGACTAAGATATTATCAATCGTTGCTTTTGTTTTAAGTGATTGATAAACAGTTCAATGACAACAAATAGTTCATATTTTTAACCTTTGGATCAATATTTGTTATGCAATGTGTTACAAATGAATGTAAACAACTTCATGTTGTGTGCCCTTTATCAGGTACAAATCGAACAATCAACAGAGACCAGTAACCATCGTTGTCTCACTATTAAAGGAATATTTGATGTTGCAATGTTTTTAAATACCGCGTTGCATTTATTCGTCAATATGCTATTTTAAAAATAACCAACAACGATAACACAGTCAGGCATTGTAGGTTATTGATATACCTGTAGAAGGTGTAGCTTCAAACACCATAGCGTTGCTGTCTCCAACAATCACGTTGCCTCCGGCATAAATTGTCGTTTGATACACAATATCTAAAGGATATAACAAAGTCAAAATTACGAAAAACATCTTTCTATCTATATCTGTCTGTCTGTCTGTGTGAGCTTAAGGTATGAACAATTGACAGATTCATAACGAAAATGTAATACTTTCATGTTCTTTTCAGGATGCGTACTATGGTCATGTTCAACAATATTCTATGACACTAATAAAAGTTGTCCTTTTGAAATCACACATATTAGACAAATTCATGTTATGAAGCAAATTAGAAAATGACAAAATTAGAATTAGAAAATGTAGCATTGATTTCGAAAAAATGACTGAAAAATACATATGTCTTACCTTGTTTTGCTTTTCCTTTTGTCGGACTTTTCTTTTTCTTTGTGGCAGTTTTGTTTTTGTCTGAATAAAGTACATGTATTAACTTATGTTGTTGTTTTCCTAACATGAGACAGAAGTGTGATAGGAGGAGAAAGATAAAAAACCCCAGACAAAACTATGGTCGTATGCAAACTGTACCTATTTTTCTATTTAGTAACTTGAGTATCATGAATTTGTTTCAAGCTGTGTTGTCACAAAAAGTTCAGTTATGACGTAACAAATAACACAACTTTCGGAATGCTATAAAATACAAAAGGATGTTCACTAAAAGAAAAAGTTAAAGTTTGTGCAGAAATTTGATATCTACATTTTGTAGTGTAAAAGCAATAACAGAAATTTGGCTTATCCACGCTAAAATTATCGAACGAAATACACCAAAAAAGAAGCACTCACAAAAAAGAAGGAAGAAAACAAAAACAAGTTATGGTAAACCTCGGGGACATACGCATGTTTAGACTATCTGCAAAAGCATCTACTTTATTAAGAAAAACAATCATAACTTAGTTTGTCGATCACCATATAGCAATTTCGTCAATGTTGATTTCATTACTGTACAATAGGTCTAAAGAATTAATATCGCTGCCTAGAGTGAGAACAGAAAAGGAATAAAATATATAAGCTAAAGCTAAAGCTAACAATATGTACAAATGTAACTAACAATATGTACAAATGTAGTTTTAATAATTATTTTAAGTACTTAAAAGTAGTTTTTCATTTAAACCTGCCAAAAGAAATCTCAACTTTAACACTTAGACTGTCGAGTATTTAACGCAGCTAGTTTGAAGAGTCTACAACCTTTGTGTCAGATGTGACGTTCTGATTATTATGATGTCAAGGTATTATTAACGCTAAGCTAAACTTGCTTGATATTGCTCATATTTATTTATAAATTGTAAAGTTCGTTGGGCCTCTCTTGAGTTCGGAGGTCTCGGCTTTGAGTTCAGAACTGGTTGTTGCTTTATACTTTTATATAGGTGTATTTTCCATAAGCATTAAGTCCTGTAGAAATTGTGAGTTGTTTCCCTTGCATCGATCTTGGCATTCAATATAAATTAATGCTGATTCTAGAGAAAAAAATGATAAAGTAGGCGATAAAACAATATATATAAGATTCTATTGTATCGTTTTAGAAGCAAAATATTATACTTTTCATATTTATACCAGTCTCAAATCACAGTATAGACAAGGGTTTTAAAAGAAATTAACGCTGATACTAGAAAAAATACATTAGGCAGCGATCATACACTATATATAATATTACATCATATCGGCTACAAAGTAACACATTTTACTTAACTACCCTGCATATTCATACCTAAATGCATGCCAGAGTATGATATTTGTCCTTACAAACCACTCGTCATAAAGCCTCTAAGTATAGCGAGTGTAAACAAGAAGGCTGGTCGGGTCTTCTCTTTGACAAAAAAAAAAAGGTTTTGTTAAGCGAGGGTAAGCACCTAATTGTTTAACATACATAGGTATCATCTGGAAGTTGGGCCACTTGTTGAAATTTTGAAGCAAATTATGTAATCAACTTTATTTTTAAGCCAGTGTCACATCGCACACGCAAAAGAAATATAATTCATAATTTATAATTGTATAATTTAAACAGTTTGATGTCTTATGATAGCCACTTATGTAAAATAATCATTGTAATACAGCAGTAGGATTGATACAAGCAACATAAATTTGTATTTTATAGCGAAATGTATAGAAGTGATAATTTTTTTTTTTTTTGCCAAAGTCGACATCATTTTCTTTTGCACTCATTTTTACCCTCATTACAGATTTCGATTAAATACATACAATTATGTGTTTATAACTTCCTATGTAAAATAATTTATCACTGTTATTCATCCGATCAACATTTTCTTTTAATGCAAATATTAGAAATGAAAATTCAAAGGTCAGAACAACTCTTTTATGCACAACCTTAATGTTCATCTTGCTGAAAAATACAATTGTATAGTGTTTATGCAATTGCAAGTACCTGTCAAAGTTAACATGCCGACATTTCCAATGTTGGTAACATTGCCATCTGCAGCTACATTGCTTACAGAGTCAATTTCATTCTTTTCAATATATGCTTGAGTAAAAAAAATCTTTTCTTCTGTATTGAAATGTAAGAATGAATTTCTTTTTCTTAAACCATTGATTACAAATTGCAAAAGGGCCTTTTTTTGCCGATTTCATAAAATATATAAAAATGCAAATATACTTCCTTAAACTTAGACTTAACTTATCGCTCTTTTCAAACAATCATACAAATAATCGATGGACAAAAGACTGTACATGGAAAATACCGGATTTGCGGTACGGAAAGAGTTAAAGAATATCATACTCAGGACCAGTAAACTATAGTGTATACTAATGCAAACCCTAAACCCCTACCCTGGTGAGGAGATTCCGAAGCAGCCTTTCGTTAGAAAGTCGCGAAGTACTTCAAAGGGAGGACATTTGTATTTCTGCTCTCGAGAAAGTGAATGGAACCTTTTCTCAAAACAAAATTAATCAAAACAATGACATACATGTGCCAATTATAAATCAATTAAACTTGTATGGTGAATAACAGTTATTTTAGAATAAATAATGCATTGAACAAGTACTTAGCTGCTGAAGATAGAAACAAGTTTACCATAAACTATTTATGTTTTACTTTGCCCTATAATCTGAAGTGCTCTACACACATGTTGACTGGATGTAGCTAAGATTAATGACCGCTACAGAAATGAAAATTAGAAGTTGTGTGGTATTTACCTGCAGAATGAACTACCTGCGGATTGCTAGGCAAAGAATCATCGTCTGCCAAAGTCACCTTATCGCTGTTCTTTTCTTTGACACTTTCTGTCGGTTTAAACATAAATAATACGTAAAATAGCAGTTAACTTCTCTAGATAGAAATATATTTGTCATAAATTATTTACACTTTGATCTGTACTATTAACTAAAGTAGGTTTTGAACATGTGTAATGAACGATTAGACACATGTAAGTGTTACATGCTGGCTATCCATTCGAATTACAGTGCAAATCGAACGTTCTAATACAATTTGTATTTTTTTTTTCGCAACACAAGTTTACAATCCTTAAAATGTCCACCACACATAGCGCCTACCTCAGCATGATCAAGACTCGTCAGGTGTAGTTACCTTTGGTCCCGTGACCTTTCGGACACGTGATCTCATGATCGAATCATGCATACACATCATCCCATCCTGGTTAATGGTAAGCTGGTGCAGGCGCATGTATGTTGGTTCCGGGGTCCCACGTTCAAAATATTCATTCCTTGTAAGTCTCAGTCCTACTTAAGAAGGCCATAGTTATGGTCGAAATATTTGGGAATGTAGTCCTGTGTTGCAAACAAAGGTTTAAAAAAAATCATCACATTTGTAAGTACCAACACAGATGGACTTTCACACTTACAGTTTGAAGCGTGCTCATGTGTTGACCTGATGTAGCTAAAATGAATGACCGCTACAGAAAGGAAATAAGAAGTTTTGTCGTATTTACCTGCAGAAGAAACTATCTTCGGATTGCCAGTCAAAGTAGTATCGCCCTCCAATGACACCTTTTCGGTGTCTCTCTCTTTGACCTTTTCTGTCTGTTCATTTCCTGCCAAATAGTTGTACGTTACACACACAGGTGTTTTCACTTTTTAAAGTGAGTAATAGTTACAGTATATAAAAGCAGCTGGATCATACAGCTTTTTCGTCCTTCAAAGAATCATAGGTGAGGCTAGGGGTCACAAATATTTTGATGGTCATGTATATGCTTACACAATAAAAGTGAACACAGTAATTTTTAAAATAAATAATACGTAAACTAGCACTTAACTGCTTTATGAAAATTGCTACTGAATTGTCAGTTCCAACACAGAAGAAGTTTCATACTTATAGTTTGGAGCGTGCTGATGTGATAACGAGATGTAGCTAAGATAAATGCCCAGTACAACAGGGAAATTAGAGGTTTAGTGGTATTTACCTGTAGAAGGAACTATCTGTGGATAAACAGGCAAAGTAATATCGTCCTCCAATAACACCTTTTCGCTGTCCTTTTCTTTGACCTTTTCTTTCTGTTCATTTTCTGAAAGAAAGATGTCCGTTACACACATAGGATACGGGTATTTCGTCCGTCGTAGACATCGATGGTGCTAGGTATCGCAGTATTTTAGTCATGTATATGCGTAAACAATAAAAGTTAACACAGTTATTTTAAAGTAAATAGAATGTGAGGAAGCACTTAACTGCTCAAGATAGAAACAAACTTGTCATAAATTATTTACACTGGAATTGGTCTGTTAAACTACATTGCGCTACACACATGTTAGCATTATATGCTGGCTATCCATTCGGATTAAAGTTCAAATTTGAGCGTTCTGATAAATTTTTAAAAGAAAATTCAACACAGGACTACAATCCTTAATTTTTCTACAACAACTATCGCCTAACGCGGTATGACTAAGACTGGTCAGGCGTAGTTAATTCGAGTGTCCTAATGCATTTTGAAACTTTTGGAGAGTCGAATGTATATGGCCTACTTGATCACACGTTCAAAATAATTTCTCCTGGTAAGTCTTAGTCCTGAGGCCGCAGTAATGGTCGAAGTATTAAGGAATGTACAGTGTAATCTTGTGTTGCCAACATAAGTTGTTTACAAATAAAACCCATCAGAATTGTCACTACCAACACAGATGAACTTCCATACTTACATTTTCGAGCAAATTGATGTGATAAATGAATGCTACAAAAGGAAAAATAAGAGGTATTTACCTGCAGAAAGAACTGTCTGCGAATTGCAAGACGTAGTAGCATCGTCTTCTAATAACACGTTTACGTTGTCCCTCTCTTTGACCTTTTCTTTCTGTTTATTTCCTGCAAGATAGGTGTACGTTACACACACAGGTAATTTCACTTTTTAAAGTGAGTAATAGTTACAGTATATAAAAGCAGCTGAATCATACAGCTTTTTCGTCCTTCTAAGAATCATAGGTGAGGCTAGGGGTCACCAATATTTTGAATATCATGTATATGCTTACACAATAAAAGTAAACACAGTAATTTTAAATAAATAATACGTGAGAAAGAACTTAATTGCTCAATATGGAAACAAATTTGTCATGAATTATTTACACTTTAGTTGGTCATATAAACTACAGTGCGCTACACATATGTTTAATGTGCGATTAAGCACATGTTAGTGTTACATGCTGGCTATCGATCTGGATTATTGTGCAAATTCGAGCGTTCTGATTGATTTTGTAATATTTGTTCGCAATACAAGACCACAATCCTTAACATTTCATCCACAAATATTGCCTACCTTAGTATCACTAAGTCTCGTCAGGTGTAGCTACCTAGGGTCCCGTGACCTTTAGGACACGTGATATCATGGTCGAATCATACATACACATCATCCCATCCTGGTTAATGGTTAGCTGGTGCACGCGAATGTATGTGGGTTCCCGGATCCCACGTTCAAAATATTCATTCCTTGTAAGTCTCAGTGTTACTAAAGAAGGCCACTGTAATGGTCGAAATATTTAGGTATGCAGTCTTATGTTGCGAACAAAAGTAAAAAAAAAAAACCCATCACATTTGTAAGTACCTTGACCTGATGTAGCTAAAATGAATGACCGCTACAGACAGGAAATAAGAAGTTTTGTCGTATTTACCTGCATAAGGAACTATCTGCGGATGGCCAGGCAAAGTAGTATCGCCCTCCAATAACACCTTGTGGGTGTCCCTCTCTTTGACCTTTTCTGTCTGTTCATTTCCTGCAAGATAGGTGTACGTTACACACACAGGTAATTTCACTTTTTAAAGTGAGTAATAGTTATTTCATATAAAAGCAGCTGGATCATATAGCTTTTTCGTCCTTCTAAGAATCGTAGGTGAGGCTAGGGGTCACAAATATTTTGATGGTCATGTATATGCTTACACAATAAAAGTGAACACAGTAATTTCTAAAATAAATGATTCGTAAACTAACACTTTACTGCTTTATGAAAATTGCTACTGAATTGTCAGTTCCAACACCGAAGAAGTTTCATACTTATATTTTGGAGCGTGCTGATGTGATAACGAGATGTAGCTAAGATAAATGCCCAGTACAAAAGGGAATTTAGAGGTTTAGTCGTATTTACCTGTAGAAGGAACTATCTGTGGATAAACAGGCAAAGTAATATCGTCCTCCAATAACACCTTTTCGCTGTCCTTTTCTTTGACCTTTTCTTTCTGTTTATTTTCTGAAAGAAAGATGTCCGTTACACACATAGGATACGGGTATTTCGTCCGTCGTAGACATCGATGATGCTAGGTATCGCAGTATTTTAGTCATGTATATGCGTAAACAATAAAAGTTAACACAGTTATTTTAAAGTAAATAGAATGTGAGGAAGCACTTAACTGCTCAAGATAGAAACAAACTTGTCATAAATTATTTACACTGGAATTGGTCTGTTAAACTACATTGCGCTACACACATGTTAGTATTATATGCTGGCTATCCATTCGAATTAAAGTTCAAATTTGAGCGTTCTGATAAATTTGTAAAAGAAAATTCAACACAGGACTACTATCCTTAATTTTTCTACAACAACTATCGCCTAACGCGGTATGACTAAGACTGGTCAGGCGTAGTTAATTCGAGTGTCCTGATGTATTTTGAAACTTTTGGCTGGTACAGTCGAATGTATATGGCCTACTTGATCCCACGTTGAAAATAATTACTCCTGGTAAGTCTTAGTCCTGAGGCCGCAGTAATGGTCGAAGTACTAAGGAATGTACAGTGTAATCTTGTGTTGCCAACATAAGTTGTTTACAAATAAAACCCATCAGAATTGTCAGTACCAACACAGATGAACTTCCATACTTACATTTTCGAGCATATTGATGTGATACATGAATGCTACAAAAGGAAAAATAAGAGGTATTTACCTGCAGAAAGAACTGTCTGCGAATTGCAAGGCGAATTGGCATCGTCTTCTAGTAACACGTTTACGTTGTCCCTCTCTTTGACCTTTTCTGTCTGTTTATTTCCTGCAAGATAGGTGTACGTTACACACACAGGTAATTTCACTTTTTAAAGTGAGTAATAGTTACAGTATATAAAAGCAGCTGGATCATACAGCTTTTTCGTCCTTCTAAGAATCATAGGTGAGGCTAGGGGTCACAAATATTTTGATGATCATGTATATGCTTACACAATAAAAGTAAACACAGTAATTTTTAAATAAATAATACGTGAGAAAGAACTTAATTGCTCAATATGGAAACAAATTTGTCATGAATTATTTACACTTTAGTTAGTCATATAAACTACAGTGCGCTACACATATGTTTAATGTGCTTAATCACATGCTAGTGTTACATGCTGGCTATCGATCTGGATTATTGTGCAAATTCGAGCGTTCTGATTGGTTTTGTAATATTTGTTCGCAATACAAGACCACAATCCTTAACATTTCAACCACAAATATTGCCTACCTTAGTATCACTAAGACTCGTCAGGTGTAGCTACCTAGGGTCCCGTGACCTTTCGGACACGTGATATCATGGTCGAATCATACATACACATCATCCCATCCTGGTTAATGGTTAGCTGGTGCAGGCGAATGTATGTGGGTTCCAGGATCCCACGTTCAAAATATTCATTCCTTGTAAGTCTCAGTGTTACTAAAGAAGGCCACTGTAATGGTCGAAATATTTAGGTATGCAGTCTTATGTTGCGATCAAAAGTAAAAAAAAAACACATCACATTTGTAAGTACCAACACAGATGAACTTTCACACTTACAGTTTGAAGCGTGCTCATGTGTTGACCTGATGTAGCTAAAACAAATGACCGCTACAGAAAGGAAATTAGAAGTTTTGTCGTATTTACCTGCATAAGGAACTATCTGCGGATGGCCAGGCAAAGTAGTATCGCCCTCCAATAACACCTTGTGGGTGTCCCTCTCTTTGACCTTTTCTGTCTGTTCATTTCCTGCAAGATAGGTGTACGTTACACACACAGGTAATTTCACTTTTTAAAGTGAGTAATAGTTTATACAACGTGAGGAAGCACTTAACTACTTAAGATAGAAAAAAAAATTGTCATAGATTATTTACACTTGAATTGGTCTTTTAAACTACAGTGCGCTACACATGGAATTAAGCACATGCTAGTTGTATATGCTGGCTATCCATTCGGATTATAGATCAAATTCGAGCGTCCTGATGTATTTTTGAAACTTTTGTTCGCAACACAAGACAGCATACTTAAACCTGCCTTGTGTAGTTACCACGGGTCCCGTGACCTTTCGGACACGTGGTCTCAGGATCGAGACATAAATGTATATACCCCCGTCCTGGTTAAAAGCTGGCTGGTACAGTCGAATGTATATGGCCTACTGGATCCCACGTTCATAATAATTACTCCTGTAGTGTACAGTGTAGTCTTGTGTTGGCATCAGAGTTGTCAGTACCAACACAAAAGAACTTTCATACTTACATGTTCGAGCATATGGATGTGATAAATGGATGCAGATGAGATAAATGACCGCTACAGAAGGGAAAATAAGAGGTTTTGTTGTATTTACCTGCAGAAAGAACTGTCTGCGAATTACAAGGCGAAGTAGTATCGTCTTCCAATAACACCTTTTCGGTGTCTCTCTCTTTGACCTTTTCTGTCTGTCCATTTCCTGCAAGATAGAGGAACGTTAAACACACAGGTGATTGCAATTTTGAAATTTAGTATTAGATACAGTCTACCAAAGTCGCTGCATCATACAGCTTTTAAGTTCTTCTAGACTCATTGTCGATGCTAGGAGTCACAAAGTTGGAACTACTGTGGACCTGTTATATTATACATAAGTCAAATCCTGTAACTATGCATCTCTTTAATGAGATTAATCAATTTACAAAAATATGTGTTTTAAATTCATTCTACTTTGTACACAAATAATGTAGGTATTAACGGTTCGCAAAATTCAGGATCACTAGTCTTTTGCCAAAATCATGGCTAAGGAATATATTTGCACACCACGATGTGACAAAATAGTAATCTATTTATCAATCTTAATGCAAAATTGTTGCTTTATATTTTTAAAGGAACCAAACTTTTCGCACCTTAGGATTTGTTAGTAAAGGAGTACATCATAACAACTAAATAACCTGTTCACACTTTTTTTTTAAATAAAGAAGAAACAGGTTCAAAAATTAAGAAACGACAAAACACAACCAACATCAAATCTTATAATGGGGCGAAAATGAAGCTCTTTATGAGGAATGTTTGATTGATATTTTACGGCTAGACAACAGTAAGGTTGCAGTAGCTGAAGCTAAAGAGTTCTAAGGAAATATCGTGATTCACTTCATGAAAGAAAACATGTATGAAGTATTCTAGAAAAAAAGCCCCCTATCGTATATATTTAAAAAACACAGCTCTTAATCATAAGAGGATGAAATATTTTTGTATCCGAAAAAATGGCAACTATTCAGTCATTTCAATCTTTTAACGTCAGTTTGGGAAGTTGTTAGAAAAAAATGTCACCATCTGATTGATGACTTTACAATAGTGGTCACCTGGAAAAAAGGTGATATTACCTCATAATACGTACTATCATCTTTATGCATTGTAACGGGACAATGTAGAGTAAATGTAAGTTATGAACTTTGCAATATTACAAAGATGAACGATACACACAGACAGACACACATGCTATTGCACCTTTAAAGTTTGCCATTATATAACCCTACCAATTTCAGTTGGCATTCATATAGGCTATGAATGCCATGGCTCGATTGTTGACGTCATTATTATTATTGTCATACATTTTTTGTTGGATACTACTGACCATCCCTGAACGATGACTGTTTTATTCAATGAACAAGCATACACGATACATACATTATTTAAACTATTACCAAACAACAATAAGTTTAATTGATATTTTTATGAGATGAACAGATTCCAAAAATGGTAAATATAAACTAGCGCGCTTCATTGAATTTGCCTTTGTCCAGTTGACATACATATTGCCTATGAATGCCAACTGAAAGCAATTCAATGCTTAAATATCATACAGATGTTTTGTCCTGTTACGTCTCATCGTTGCTGATAGAGGCCAACAAGTTGGAAATCCATATTGTCTAAACTACTGTTTAAACAGATGGGTCATGTGCTTAAAACCCCTGAAAAGAGATTCTGGAAAATGAAAAATGTACCTACCATCGCTACTTTTCGTCCTTGTACGCCTACTATTCTTCTTCCTTTTCTTTGAGACGTCAGGCTTTTTGTCTGAAATATTAAAACGGACTTTTTCTATATCACTTTAATGGATTCATAGACGATTACTTTAAGCCACAAATGACTATTTCTCGTGACAATGAGTTTTGGTTGTATTACGATATCTTATTTTCTGCATTTGAGGGTAACGGTTTTCTTCCATATTCATATGATATCGGTACTTATATACTTATTGTTTGTTTGAAGACATTTACAAACTGTATTATCACTTTGTAGCTTCTTATTATTTCATAAAGAAATTCAAAAAAATTATATGTAAAAAAAAAATGACCTGGTTCTCTTGATTCAAGATTGTTGAAGTCTATAGCGTGTAGACCGCTACAAAAGTAAAAAGATGTTTTGTCGTATTTACCTGCAGAAGGAACTATCTGCGGATTGCCAGGCAAAGATGTATCGTCTGCCAAAATCACCTTTTCTCTGTCCTTCTCTTTAACCTTTTCTTTGACCATTTCTTTTTGTTTATTTCCTGCTAAATAAATGTAAGTTGCACTTTTGAAAATTTAGTAATAGTTACAGTATACCAAAGCCGCTGCATAATACAGCTTTTTTGTCCTTCGAAGACTCATAAACTTAGCACATGTTAGTATTATAAGCTGGCTATCCTTTGGGATTTTAGACCAAATTTGAGCGTCCTGAGGAACTTTGTAATTTTAGTTCGCAACACAAGGCTACATTCCTTAACATACCAGGTGTTGTTGCATTGGGCCCCGTGACCGTTCGGACACGTGGTCTCAGGATCGAGATATAAATGTACACCATACCGCTCTGGTTAATGGCTGGATGTTACAGGCGAATGTATACGGCCTCCTGGATCCCACGTTCAAAATAATTACTCCTGGTAAGTCTCAATCCTACTGATGAAGGCCACAGTAATGGTCAAAATAATAAGGAATATAGTCTTCTGATGCAAACAAAAGTTACAATTACATCATAATTGGCAGTACCGACACAGATGTACTTTCACACTTATAGTTTGTAGCGCGCTTATGTGTTGATTGGATGTAGCTTAGATAAAAGACCGCTACAGAACGGAAAACAGTGTTGTCGTATTTACCTGCAGAAGGAACAATCTGCGGATTGCCAGGTAAAGATGTCATCAATTATTTACGCTTGAATTGTTTGTTTTTTAAACTAAGCACATGTTAGTTTTATATGCTGACTAACCATTTGGATTTTAGACCAAATTTGACCGTCCTGAGTAACTTTGTAACTATTGTTTGCAACACAAAACTACATTACTTAACTCACCAGGTATAGTTACCCTGAGTCCCGTGACCGTTAGGACACGTGGTCTCAGGATCGAGATATAAATGTAAACCATCCCGTCCTGGTTAATTGTTGGCTGGTACAGGCGAATACATATTGTCCCCTGGATCCCTTGTAGGAAATAATTACTCCTTGTAAGACTCAGACCTGCTTAACAATGCCACAGCAATGACCTAAATATCTAGGAATGTAGACTTGTGTTGCGAACACAAGTTTAAAATAATCACTAGAATTGTCAGTACCAACACAGATGTACTGTCATACTTACAGTTTCTAGCATATTGTTGTAATAGTTTGATGCAGATGAGATAAATAACCGCTAAAGAAGGAAAATAAGAGTTTGTTTTGTCGTATTTACCTGCAGAAGGATCTATCTGCGGATTGCCAGGCAACGTAGTATCGTCTGCCAAAATCATCTTTTCTCTGTCCCTCTCTATGACCTTTTCTTTTATCTTTTCTTTTTGTTCATTTCCTGCAAGATAGATGTACGTTAAACTCACAGTTGATTGCACTTTTGAAATTTAGTAATAGACACAGTATACTAAAGCAGCTGCATCATACAGCTTGTTCGTCCTTCTAAGACTCATTGACTGATGCCAGGGGTCACATGGTTTTTTCATGGTCATGTATATACTTACACGTTAAAAGTAAACAGTTATTTCAAAGTAAACAGGTACTTACTATTGGAATGCTTGCAAAGGGAGGAGATAAAATGGAAAAACATATTTGTCACTGACTTTATGTTATATGATACTGTCTATAATTTTCAAAACTAATACAAATGTTTGCCTAATCGATAAGACTTACAGCTAGTTAATATTATGTCTTATTGTATAAAAATCACGTCTGAAAACTGTCAGGGCTTCGGGTCAAAGGTAAAAAGACTTGATGTATTGAATTATTTACAAACAAATTTTAGGGATTTTAATGTTTTTTGTCTCCAAGACACTAATTTTGCACCTCGAATAGAGGTTCATATTGAGTCACAGTGGGGTTTTATGTGTATTTTTAATTTTTACTGTCAAATTGTAGAGGCGTGAGTATTATGTTGAGTAATCATTTTGAATCTTATATACACGAAGTTAAAAAAGATAGAGGTGGCAATTTTATAGCTGTTGATATTACAATTGAGAAAAGAAGATTAACGCTTATAACTGTATACGGCCACAACATTGATGATCCAATGTTTCATGAATACTTAAAAAAGACTCGAGATTAACTTGAAAATACAGAAATAATTATATTTGGAGATTACAATATCGTACTTAACCCAGAAAAAGATACCTATAATTATAGAAATGTAAACAATCCTCAGGCTAGGCAACACATACTTGATATAGTTGAAGAATATAATTTATCTGACTGTTTTATGATACTACAGCAAGACTACCACAGGTACTCGTGAAAGAAAGAAAACTATTTAAGCAAGCTAACCTAGATTCCTGTCTTACAACTGACAATCTTTTTAAATATAATAGATAAAGCAGATATTAAACCAGGATATTGAACAGACCAGTCGATCATTACATTAGAAATAATAATAAAAAAAAAAAACAATTTGGAACGGGGTAAGGGACTATGGAAATTTAACACTAGTTAACTTTATGATAATGAATATTTGAAGAAGGTAAAAGGTACAATTAAACATATAAAGAAACAATATGCAGATAGTAAATATGATGGAAATAAATACGACGTTGACAATAAAGATATTACTTTTTCAATTGACGACCAACTTTTCTTAGAAACTCTACTGATGGAAATTAGAAGTATTTCTCATGCAGTACAGAAGTCAAGAAATACAAAAAGACAAGAACAAAAATAAGTGGAAAATATAAATAGTATAGAGTCTGAAGACAATTTAGCAAATAAATTTGATATTTTACAAAAAAAAAAGAGAATTAAAACCCATCAGACAAACAAAAATAAAAGGACACCTAATTAGGTCTAAACTTAACTGGATAGAAGAGGGAGAAAAGGCTACAAAATACTTCTGAAGTCTGGAGTCTAAAAATTTTACTAAAAAAACAATATACAAACTAGAAAAAATGTATGGAGAAATAATTACTGAACAAAAGGAAATCCTGAAAGAAATAGAAGCATTATACACAAAACTTTACAGTGAGTCTGAGGGTATAGAAAATGTTGATCTAGACAACTTACTTGATTTAAATAAATCAACAGATAATCAAAAAGAAACATTAGAAGGACATTTAATAGAAGTAGAGCTTGGAAAATATTTAAAAAATATGAAAAAATGTAAATCCCCTTGAACAGATTGCTTTCCTGCAGAATTTTTAATATTTTTTTTGCCAGAACTTAAATATTTTATATTGAGATCACTAAACCATGGGTAAACTAAATATTTTTTTCCACAAATCAAAGCCTAGATATTTTTACATGTGTACCAAAAGGAGAAAAAACAAGACAATTTAAAAAAAAAAACTGGAGGCCTATTACATTATAAAATACAATTTACAAATTAGACTCAGCATGCATAGCCAACAGAATGAAAACATTTTTAGATTTTATAATTTCAGATACATAAACTTATTTTATAAAAGGTAGGGATATTGGAGAGAATACTAGACTAATATATGACATAATGAATTATACAGAAAAAATGACATTCCCGGATTATTGGTTTTAATAGATTTTGAAAAGGTCTTCAACTCAGTATCATGGAAGTTTCTATACAAAGTAACAGAGTATCAGACATTGGATCAATACACTATATAAAGACACTTCATCCGCTTTTATACATATGGTCAGAATGTTTCACTATAGAACGAGACTGTCGTCAGGGCGACCATGTCTCACCATATCTTTTTTTACTTGTGGCAGAAATATTGGCAATTATGGTTAAAACAATGCAATAATCAAGGGTATCAAAGTAGGGAAGAAAGAACACACGCTCTCACAGTTTGCAGATGACACATCTCTTATTTTTATATGGTTCTAGGAAATCTTTAAATGAGGTACTCAAAATGTTAGAATAATTTGCTCAAATATCAGGTCTTAAGGTAAATAGTGGCAAAACACATTTGATATGGATAGGAAGTAAAAATTCAGTCAAGACATATACCACCATAGATGGAACTTTTAATGAGGGGATTACAAAATCTAACCTTCTTGGAATAGATTACTCTGTCAACTTAGATGAAATGATTAACATTAACCATAATAAAGCTATACAAAATTTAGATAATTCATTACTACAATGGTCTAAAAGAATACTTACACCAATAGGTAAAATAATTGTTTTAAAAACATTGATACTTTCAAAAATGATTTATCTATTTATGACTATACCGAATCCAGACAGAGCTTTTATGAAAACATTGAATACTACATTTTTAAAATGTATATGGCAAGGACCTATTGATAATGTGAAAAAGAACACTCTAATTAATACAACAAAGGATGTTTGAAAAATGATAGATATAGGGAATGTTATTGGGTAGTTTAAAATTTACTTGGCTAGGAGGACTATTGACATCTAGTGATACGGAATGGAAAAATATTTTTGAACATGAAATATGTCCCATACAGTGTCTTTCAAAATTTGGTGAAGGTTTCTTTGAAAACTTAAATATAACAAATTTATTTTGGAAATAAGTCCTCAATACATGGATAAAAGTGTCAAAACTAAATAAAATAAGAACCAAAACTGACCTTCTTACCTCCCCTTTATGGTATTTTTTGTACTTTAAGATAGGGAATCAATACATTTATTTTGAAGACTGGCATAAGAAAGGTGTAAATACAGTAGTAGATGGCACATTTCTAAATTTTGAAGAATTCAAAGACAAGTTTTCTGTAACATCTTACTATTCTTCTTCTTTTTTTTCTTTGTGACGTCAGGCTTTTTGTCTGAAATATTAAAACCGACATTTACAAATAATCTATATCACTGTAATGGATTCAAAGACGATTGATTTAAGCCAGATATGTCTATTTTTCGGGACAATGAGTTTTGGTTGTATTACGATATCTCATTTTCTGCATTTGAGGGTAACGGTTTCTTCCATATTCATATGATATACTTATATACTTATTGTTTGTTCCATTCAAAAAATTTCCAAACTGTTTTATCATTTTGTAGCTTCTTATTATTTCATAAAGAAATTCAAAACATTCATATGTAAAAATATCTTACCTTGACCTGGTTCTCTTGATTCTAGATTGTTGAAGTCTATAGCGTGTAATTCTTTAATGAAATCTTCCCAAATGTCATCCGAATATTTTTCGGGAGTCCCTAAATATTGGTACAATATGTATATTGCATGAATCACTAATACGTAACGTCGAGATCAGTTAACAGAATCATAAAATTTTATGTTAGATGCAGGTATGAAACTATATGAATCTGGTAATATGAACTTTAGGCATTTAATAAACCTGAAAATAACTGATGACTTCTAAGATTAAAATGTGAAATTAACATTTACTAGTAAACTCAATATAATTAGAACTTATTATGAAAAGAGAAAGTTTTAATTTTCGACGATATGGCATTGAATGCAAAAATTACTATTACAAATAGTATATTACTTTTCTTTAAACCTCAGTACATTTTTTTTAAAACTTTCGATATGTTTCCGTTACCTTTAATCTCTTCTCTAAACGATATTATAAAAAAAACCACTTAAGTTAACTTATCTCACATTAAAACAGTATAAGACCTGTTCATGCCCATGAGTGTAGGATAGGGTAATTCCTCCCGAGAGCTTTTCAAATTAAGTAAAACCCCGAGGCTCTGCCGCGTGTTTTGCCAAATGTATAAAATCTCGAGGGTGGAAATGCCAAATCCTACACTCTTTAGCATGGAAGAGTACTTTTTCTCTCATTCTAACCACAAGATTAATCTCAGACACAATGAGAATGAATTTGAACTGGCTACCATTTTGAAAATATCATTTTTCCCCTGAGCTTTTTAAACAAAAGCGAATATGTAAGCTAGATTTGGCATACCCCATATTTTCAAACAGAGTTTGCCCGGAAAAAATAATCACATCTTTCTTACGTATACGGTAAATATATCGTAAAGAGTTTTAATTTTATCACGTTCCAAATTCTTAACGTCACGTCATTGTTGAGCGATTGTGACGTCACGTCACGTGAAATGGGGGTAATATATACATTTCCTACACCCTTTTATATGCATAATCTGGTTGGCTAATTCGTTTTCGTCTCAAAATCTCAGGAGAAAAAATAATATTTTCAAAATAGTGGCCATTCAAAACGCATTTCCATGGTATTTGAGATTATTCCGGTGGCTGGAATGAGAGAAAAATCTCTTTCAGTCCCAAGGGTGTAGGATAGCGAAATTCCACCTGAGTTTTTTCAAATTTGGTAAAACCCGAGGGTGGAATTTCCCTAATCTACATCTCTGTGCATGAAATATACTTATATTGTTTCACACCTTTCTTACCCTAGACAGCTCTATCTTAGACACAGGAAAACGAGAGAAAAAACATATCTTTTATCATAATCTTACACTGAAAGAGTTCCATAAATTATTTATAAGATATATTATATCATATACATTTGATGTACGTCTAAGCACCAATGTAGAAAAAAAACATAAAGTACCTCCTTTGAAATACTTGTCCAACAGGTCTTGTCGCTTTAATGTCACTAGAGCTGTATACACGACATGTTGGTATTTAGTCGTGTGATGTCCAATGGTATCGAGCCATTTTGATATGACCAGTTGGTGAAGATGTTGTCCAGGTTCTTGGATAACTTTTACCTGCGATTCGGTGAATCCGATATGCGAGGCAAACTCGGCGACATTTCCCCCGAGTTCGTCTGTCAGATCCAACAGCCATCTGTTTGCCTTCGAACCTTCAGAAAATTGTGTAGATGATATAATATATTACAGAAGCATGCAATAAGGAACAGTTAGAGCATTACATATTCTATTTTAGATTCAAAATATGAAGTCGTCGATTGGTGTGATAAGAAATTTCTGGTAAATAAATTGTATGGTAAATTTTCCCTTTCATGTTAATAGTAAACCAGATAGGTGTTATGACTGGGAAAATATCGTACGAGGACATCAACCATCCCCCCCCCCCCCCCCCCGCCAAAAAAAATTAAATAACCAAGAGAGAGAAGAGCAACATCAGTTCCAACAAGAAAGTGGAGATGATGCAAGTTTCATAAACTCGTTTTATTATTAGCAAGAACCAGCTGCACAAGGTTCATCAGCATAATGATATTTCTAGATTCATTTTCTTTTTTTTATACATACACAAGTGTCTCAGTGTGACCATCTCTGAAATCCATGAGTTCCGCTTTTGATATAAATATATCTTCTCTGCATTTCTTTAATATGTCATGCTCAAATTAAAGGCTTATATATATCAGTCTGATGTCTTTGATGGAGCTTTAAAAAACCGTGCGACAATGTAGCAAACAAATCGTTAAGATTTTAAGATTGGTAGAGCTCCTCTATATTCTGTACACGACAGGTATCTGACTAACGATTGATTTTATTGTGTATATCTGAAATCAATCATACAGCTCATTGCGATCCTTCGGATTTCGAAAAAGTAGTTTTGTATGACCATATCAAGTTCTGTTGAAAGAGACACATTTGTCTTAAGAAAATGTTGTTATTGCATTAAATGAAGACAAATACCTGTTAAACTTGACTTGAATCCTGAGGCACTTGCCATCCTTGATTTACATGTACATTACCTATAAAAAAACAAAATATATTAATTAAAAAAGTAACCAGCGTTATCAAGTTAGCCAGTAGAAAACTTGATTCTAATCCAGATGAGAGGCAACACGGCATTAGTGACGGTGATACCACAATATAATGCCACACATTTCAAAATACATTCCATTCAGTGTACTAGTGGGGGAAAACAGTGAATAAATAATTTCATAACAATATAATGCCACACATTTCAAAATACAGTAGTATTATTCCCTAACAGAAAGAACGCAACCAAAAACAAAAAACAAACACAAACATTGAAAACAGTTAAGTGCTATTTTTATATTATGTATATGTGTAAAGCCTCTCTGATGATATTTCACTGGCTGATTTCTTTTAGTGGAACAAACCTGACAAATACTTGATATATACAAAATAAGATACCAGTCCCACTGCACTTAGTTATATGTGTATATACAGTAATCTCCCCTTAATTTCATGTTGGATGTAACTGTAACACATTTGAGCGAGGTGACTTCCGTTGATTAGAAGGCTAAGTCGGTTAGAAAGGTATAGCAATATGAAGTACATGGTTCGAATCCCGAAACTAAATGTTGGTAGACATCTTCTTAATGTTTGGATATTTTTTAATCGCAGAATATTTTGTTTGATTATGTTTGTTCATTTTATGTTCGTGGTTTTCTTTCTCGAAATGTTTAGATATGTACGTAGTTACAGTTTTGGCAATGGTACAGGGATCCATGATGCCAAGACAAGTTCATACACAGGTTTTATTATCTATGAACATTTCTCTAGATCCACTTTCGTTATTTTAAATTAACCAATAGCTCTTTTAAATAAGGTAATGAACAGCAAGCGAGGATGCAAACGGTGGTTAGGCAGTTTTCTGTAACAGATACATGTACATCGTCCCAAGGTCAAATTGTGTATGTTCTTACAGCAATCAAAAACTAAAGATAAAACAAATCTCTCTCATCACATATTATAGGTGACCACAAGTGTGACGTAACAAATGAATTTTACAATTTTGATCATTTGTGATAACTAACATCAGTTAGGTGGGTTTGCAATACACAATAACGAAAGCTACTTTCTAGTTTATTTTCATAGAAATATGAATATAAGAACTTTAAGACCAAGGCGATCTTGCAGACCAATTTCTCTACACAGCATTCAAAATTGCAAAAAACATTACATACAACCAACAGATTTTTAAGTTTTTGTTCTGATTGATGTCATGATTGTAATCATTGCCTTTCGAGGATAATAAACTAACAATATGGCTTAAAGGCGTTCTTAAGTTAAGTATATTGGCTTAAGCTGCCTTTTGTATATGTATATACTATATCACACACTTCTGCAAGACGCACGTGTCCAATGCCATCTTTCTATTACCCTGGACAGGTTTATCCACACTTCTACCATTGTGATATGTACTTGTCTCACCCTAGGGCTGAGACGGGAGGATTCCCCTATTCATAACAATGGTATGACGTCAACAATACAATGACGTTACTTCAACAATCCATCAACGTCACATCAACACTGAATATAGCCTGTAACGTTAACATTACATTATGTATATGATACATAATGAGTGAACAGGGAAAGAGAAAAAAGAATAATTCACCCCCTTGAGTGTGAGATAGGGGAATCTGAAGTTCCTTGAGTTGCCAATCACTCGGAAAAGCTTCGAGTTTGTCAACTTAAGAATCTCTCCCTCAGTTTGAGATTCCCCTATCTTACCCAAGGGGTTGAAAGATTATATTGATCTCACATAGGTCACCTGGAGACCTCAAGTTCGGAAAATACATTTTTTTTCTAAATATTTACTAGCGGATGCATGGAAACTATTCCTTAAGCTAAACACGTTCGATACCATTCCTTTCAAGGCTGTTAAGACATGTTTACGTCCGTGATGAGGATTCATAATTTGAAAGGGACTACTACATTGTATATGTACTTTTAAGGTATGAAAATAAAAGAAGATACCAAACCCGTGTGCAGAAGTTTCCATCCGAACCCACAAAAAAGCAATCAGTCGTACAACTCATAATGATTTCTGAGTATGGGGTGATACTAAGCTGTTCACAAAACGGTGAAAGAAAGGAAATACACATATATGCGATTCAGGTGGTATCAAATTCATAACGTAACTACACAGACCTATCTCCCCTTAACAGCCAAAAGCGAAAGTATATTTACTTCCAAGAATTTATTTTAAAATGTTTGGCTATAAAAGATAGCGTTGATCAAACACATTTCAAATGAATTTGTCCTAGTTTTAATCCATACCTGATATGATCTAGCGTACTTAATCATTAGTAAAAACTTACACTGGACGGAGTTTTTTGTCATCTCAACATTTCTGTCCATGGTCCATGGCTATTTCAGTATGGAGTGTATTCTACAAGGAAACGAACAAGCACATGTACTCATTCATAAACAAATCGATATATAAATATCATGTATATTATAAACACAACTGTATACTAACTGTTCCTCAGAGTAGTATATTCACCGTTTCTTATAGAATGTCCGTGTCTGCCAAGACCTGTGTGTCTGTATTATGATTTCCTCTATTATAAGTTCAAGCACTACATTAAACACATCACGTGGTTAACGGGAAATAACGGGAATTGAACGATACCCTATTCGAGAACAATCTGCATGCTATTCTTTAGAAAAAGGCTGTGGTAACGAAATTAGAATTTACGCCAGCTTTACAGAAAACACTTACCGCAGAGAGGAAACATTGTTGTTAAAAGGAGAAATACATAGAATTTGTAATGTGTGTTTTGCAAACTAAGTACAATCTTCACTATAGATGTGTTGGTTTAAACCGTTTACATGGCTACCGGAAGTGTACATGGTACAATGTAACGAGGTACTTGATTGACAAAAGTGTAAATTTGTTATCAATAGGAATGTTCTACAGTTTTACGAGGTACATATTTATTCATTACACTTGTGCAATCAAGATACATGTAGAACAAAGGGATAACAAACAGACAAATGTCGAACTATAAACCCAAATGAAAATCTTTTAATAAGCGTTGATTAAACACATCTGTCCCAGTTTCAAAAGTTATGCCATCAACATGTTTTTAACAATTTACAACTTAGATTTAAGCATGTCTTACCCGCTGAGTTTCGTTCTGAATCACAACGGATCGATTATATCATTATTTAAGAATTTACCGGAAAAACCAGACTATTCAAATAGCATCATGCGTCATCGTTGTAAACCAGGTTGTTTACTTGTGTATACATGAGGGTCAACATTGTACGTGTATAGGCACACTGCGGCAAAGTTAAAACATATATTTTTTTGTAAGCCAAGGCCAGGTACAAATATATGATACATATATGCATTTACCCTTGGTTAAAACTTAAACCAGAGTAGTATGTGTCATGTAGGGTAGCGTTTTGTCCTTATGCGAAGTTGTGACCTTATTCATCGAGACACAATAGATGTGTTTCCTTTTGGGACATTAACCGGGCTCAGTTGATATTTAATACTTTGCATATGGATTCCAGTACATGCATTTGTACAATTAAAATGACAATGCCATTCAAACCATAAATAGCATTTATAAACAACATTTATAAACACTTTTTAGATTTCCCGAAGGACACACATCCAGTAAAAATGGTTATTTCAGTATGAAGTGTAGTTTTAAAGGAAACAAACAAACACTTGTCCACATTCATAAACAGATCAATATGTAAAAAGCATGTGTATTATAAACAGAACTATATATCAACTATACCACATAACATTATATTCACCATCTATGTGCTAAGTCTGTGAGTTTCTATTAGATTTCAATGTTCAAGCACTACATACACTATATCACGTGAGAGATACCATAATATGCATGTCATGTTAGTATAAGGCTGAGATAACGAAAGTACAATTTCAAATAACTTCACAAAATACCTGTCTCATCGCAGGAAAGATACATTATTGTTAAATAGAAAGATACATAAAGTTTGTTTGAATCTGTAATCTGGTTTTTTCTTGCAAATTAAGTATATTGTTTCTGTTTGCACCTTTGAAATGGCTACCGGAGGTAAACATGGTAACGACTCGACTTGATTGTAAATAATGTAAATATGATATCAAAGGAAAGCTTATTCGAAAATTCTACATTTAAAAACGATAATTATTTACTCGCTACATATGTGTTTTGTACAATCAAAATAGGATAAATATTAAGAGTCAAAAGTCAAAATCTAAACATCTGTCACAGATTACGAAAGTTAACGTAATAACATTCCTTTCCCAACTAACAACTTACCTGCTGAAATTTGTATCAAACCTCAACTGATAAAATTACTATTAAAGCAATTACCGGAAAACCACAATAGCTTAACGTAACATGTGTGTTATCGTCTAGAGTAGTACCATTGGCTACGTGTAAATACACAATGCGACGGACTTAAACATCGATTTTTGTAAGGCAAGGTCAAAGTTCAAAATGCTTAAATAAATGCGTCACAGATACCTGTAATTAGAACAGAAACCAGAGTTGTGCGTTTCATGCAAGATAGCTTAAGTATGCCGAAATGGCGACCTTATTCGTCGAGACACAAAACGTGTACAGCATACTAATTCAAATACACACATTTGTACAATTATACTGAAGTTAACAGAAATACCTTAAATAACATTTTTAAGCATTTATATATATATATGCTTAAATATAATAAAAAGTGATTAAATTGTCCATGTGAAGGAAGTAAATATAGAAAAAATAAAATTAACGACCGACTAAAAAACTAGCTGCTTTCACCCTTCACAGGGCTCTTCAGGTTTATTCAAAAGAGAACAACGTCGTGACGTCACAATAACATGTCATCACACTACAATAGTAACGTGACGTCACGAAGTACACAAGATTGGTGGACAATTTGGCGTAAAATTTTGTTGTGACCTGTTGAGACTCGGTTTTAATATTTTTATTAGTTGGTCTTCTTTCGTTTCTCTTAAAATAGTGTCTGATGAAAATAGTTGATACAAAGGTAATACATTAAATTTATCTCCAGCACATTCATGAATATGTTTGTTAACATGAAGATTTCGTAAAGAATCAGTTCTAGTTTGTTGTCTATGTACAGTCATACGTGTTCTGTGTTCATCACCGGTTTGACCGATGTAAAAATCACCACATTTAGAACAAACGATTGAATAAATTACATTTTTTGATTTACAATTCATATTTACCTTCACAGTAAATTTCACGGAATTGTAATATGTTTCCTGTGATAAAGAACAAATGTGAAGAGTTAAAGCAAAGTAGCAGGCGTATGAGAAACATTTTTAATAAACATGCTATTTTACACTGTAGACGCCAACCTAAAAACTTGAAACGTATGTTGACATGTTCTAAGTTTGATAATTCTTGTGTAACACCAAAAGTATCCAAATGTAAGACACCAAGATGTGCTACATGTCCTATGATTATCGAGTGTAATACTTTTATTTTCAAGAATGGTTTGAAATTTACCGTCGCGTGTCCAGGTCATGATACCAAGAAACGTAATATGTATGTCTCTGTGAAACCCAAACAAGATCTGTAACAGTGTCGGAAGATATTTCGTTCTCCCCATGTCCCGTTATCAATAGTTGGAGGGAGGGCCTGTCTATGGCAGAACTCTCACTATAAACGTCAACCATAGAACCTCGCGAGGAAATATTCAAGGTCTATGGTTTTGGACTTTGACAGCGATTAGTTCGTCTTCATCACTTGGCGGGAGGCAGACTTCGTACGATATGCTTACGCGCATATAGTCCGTGGTTAATTTATATTAATTAATGCAATATTGCATATTCTCAATATTTAAAGTCGTTCATCTATTTTTATTTTTTCACGAAGTTGTTGCCGAAACATTGATTTAAAAAATTATTAAATTTGTAAAAGAAATGTCATTTTTGAATATTAATGAGTGACTTTTTACATATAAGTCATATTACTACGCCAGCCTTGTCAACAAAATGTGTGTATTCTATTCAAATCAGGAAATACTCCAGCTGTTTCCGACTGAGATTGTGGTAGAAACAGATCACACGACTCGTGGTTGTTGAGTATGTTATTCATTTCACTCTCGTTAATTAATTTTCAAAAGTTACAGAAAGACACTCGCTAAAGCTCGTGTCTTTTGTAACTTTTGAAAATTAACTAACTCGAGTGAAATAAATACCATATTCAACAACCACTCGTTGTGTAACCTCTATAAATATTACATGTATACATGTATATGTTATCATTGATAACGCTGCTCTGTTTATAATTACGTTAACTATTTTCGAACCATATGAGCAGTTGAACATCAATTCCGCCGTTAAACAATTTACGCAATAGACCCCGGTGAGACACTCTTAGAAAGGCCTTGCTTATGTAACAAAAAACACACGGAGTTATTTTCCCTCGTCTCCTGACCTAAAACCAGACTGACACAGAGGTCAACAATACAATTGTGCCACAACTTGGAAATCCTGGATCAACCATAGATCTTCGTAGTGTCACCATAAAGAAATCATAGTAGAGACGGCACATGCCGTGTTAGACCACCGTGCACCGTACCAGAGTCGGCGGTGGTCGTACTGACACCTTAATACTGTAGCGAGTCTCCCTAGTGTTGCTGTGAGTCGCCATGACTCCCAAACACTACGGTCACCCCGGATGGCCACAAGGACTGTGGTACTACGTTGATACTACGGTTTTCAAAATACCGTAGCTAGGCTACGGATAAACCCGGATGTTTGAAACTGTTTAAAACTACCGTAGCGAGCTAGGGATCACCCATGAACAACACGGATGACCTCGTCTTTAATACGGACTTGCAGCGAATACACATGATCGCCCCTGTTTGCTCCGTCGTAGCTTACCGCGGCTAAATACCGGTACAGTGTGACTCGTGCTCTGGCTGTCATTCGCTACACCCAGCTAATCGCTAAATAACCCTGTACTTGTCTGGCCCAGCCAACATTACGGACTTTTCCAATAGTAGGTAGTGATAGGTAGGGTGTCAAGCTGTGGATACTATACTTAAACAAAACTTTCTGTAGGAATATTACTGGTTGACAATAAATAAAGTCTTAAATGATCATTTTGTATTTTATGCCATCAGGAAGATTCCAAAGTTTATAAAAAACAATATTGATTAAGGTACCTGTATACACAATGACTTGGACTCGTCCGACGGGTACTCGTATACACAATCGCAGTAAATGAGAAAGTGAATCGTCTGCTGGATAACCGAACACGTAAAACCACTCAAACAGTCAGTCGTTAAACAGGCTCAGTGCACTCACACAGTGTTTACAAGCTATGCACAATTTACAAAGTCACCGTTTATTGTACCTGATCAATAACCTTACAACACATGTGTTGATACCAT